TGTAAATTATATAATTAGCAAGCAGCAAAAAAACTCCCCAATCGATAGGTGGGTATTAACAAACATTTATTATATGTCCAACAACATGCATGACCCCATAAAAAGTTAATTGTTAATTGTTATTACCAGTACAATAATGTATGCCTGCGGTGGGGTACAAAAGAGAGAGAAAGAAAAAACTGCGAAACAAACAGGCAGACATAAAAATATAAACATAATTATAAAAATAAATATTATTTTAGAGAGCGGCGTTTACTTACGTGTGCGATCTGCTTCTGCATTGCTGCCCTAATACGATTAACTCACGCAATTGCCATTAAACCCAAATTTTGTGCTGATCCAGGTCCTGCGGCAGGACGAAGGCGACAACCTGCCTGTCCACGCGGCGGCAATTAAAACTCGAAGGCCTTCGCGAAGGCACCAAGTGCGGCCCCGATAAGTAGGCAACGAAATATGCAAAAAATATACAAGTGTAAGAAAAGTGATTTGTGATTGGCTCAGGAAGCTGTAAAAATTCATTAAATATAATTTCAAACTGACCCAAAACAGCACGTAATAATCGTAAAGGAAATGAGCTCAACAAAAAATGAAAAAGGGAAGCAATCGCCTAATAAAATTTTGTAGGACAAGGACATTAAAAAATTAATAACAGCACTCACCCATTGTACTTTGACACGTAGCGTGTCTGTGCATTTTTCATGATTATTATTCGTTTTGGTTAATTTTTTTTAGGCATGTTACGTAGTTTGGCAGTTCGTTAGTGGTTAATTGTTTGGAAGCCGGAAGTGCACAAAAAAATAAACAAATAAAATCATTAAACCATTATATAATGTATATATATGTGAAATTTATATCTGCGTAAGTTTTTTGTGGCCGCTGCTTAAACCGCTGCCACTTATGAGTTTTTGCCTTGACTATGGCCTCTATTTTCATATTTTTTTATTATTATTTTCCTAGCCTGGCTATTCAGGGGACTCGGCACAACATGGCGTATACAATATTTTCCATTTTTATGCCAAGATTTATTAGTTTAGCGATAAATAAAAGCAGCCGCCGCCACTCTACATAGCGTCAGTTGGGTAAGGATGGTAGTAGGAAAAACCCATAGAGCCGGGTAGGTGAACGCTCTGTCTCAATAAATCACTTGGCATACTGTGAAATTGGCTTTTATGTCCCCATCCATGGGCATTGCTTTCATTTCATTTGTGATTCTCGAATGGGATCTAAATTTTTAAAATAGCTCTTCTATCTAAATCTATTATGTCATATCTGTTTGAAGTTATTGCCTGACAACCAATATGATGAGAGAGCGAGGACACACACATGTGAAGTAACAGCGAATAAACAATTGATTGAGATGGATGGATGATGAGGAATACGAAGATATGAAAATCGATACAGTTTACAACTTTTTGATACTGGAAATTGGGAAAAGAAAAGCAAAGAAAAGTGCTGTTTCTTCTTTCTATCTACAAGACTTGTGAAGATTTGTATCTGATATTTTCTTGTGAGCTGATTAATCTGATGTCTAAGAAATCACTTCTACATCAAATCCCATCTAACCAGGAGCAGGATCTAAGAATCCATTATTCAAATTCCTTAATCGAAATCTCTCTCTCCCCCTTAGCTTTGTTGTCCCCTACTTAATATCCTTGCCGCGACATGATGCACAAAACTTTCTCTCGGTAGCAACTATATTCATCAATGTATTCTTATAATTTATGCATAACGGGAAAGTTGCAAAAGCAGCGAAAAACTCATTATGACCAGCACAGGTGCGAAAACGGTATGCACAGATGTTACCCTGTTTAGACAAGGACATTGCCAGGACCAAGGACCAAGGCAGAGTGCAATCAGCCACAAAGTGGGCAGCTGGTTTTGCCACCAGACAATATCATTTACTTGTAAATTTTCGGTTTTATCTGGCGACTGTCAACATTTTTATCAGCATCGACAGTGGCAACAGCAGCTGGAGCTTCAGCTGCATCTGCAGCATCCCAGGTAACCTAGGTAGAGTAAACAGAAAGGCACCAAAGATGCACGTAGGTGTGTGTGTGTGTTTGTTTGTGTTTCTGTGTGTGTGTTTGTGTTTCGGCACAAAGAATGCAGGCACTTAAACGTGTTGCATAATTCAGGCGGCGTTTATTCAGAGCCATTGCACACTGCCAGCATTCTCAGCAAAACCATCGTCAGATCAAAAAACGGAAGTTGCTCAGGAGCAGCAAACAGCAGCAGCAACATTTTGATGAGCTCCACCAAACTCTCGGTTCCTGCTAACTTATTAAAGTGGAATTTGAAAGGAGAATGATGCGTACACTGGGGGAAAATATTACATTACATTAAAGTGTCTAGGATATTTCTTTCTTTAAATGAAATATTTCAATCTCTTCCTACTGATAAGATATGATTACTCGTTATTTTGAAATTATGTTGGTTGAATAATTTTAAATTTAAATAGTTATAGAACAGTTTGTGATAACAAGAAAGGAAGCTTACTTCGGATGGGCGAAGTTTGTTTATGCTTGCAGTTTATTCTATCTATTGGATAACCGTCCCAAAAGCATTCATTTCTCAATATTTTACTTTATTTTAATTAGGATGTTAATTGCGAATATATAACTTTTGGAAATCTTTGGGATTTTACGGCAATTTATAACCTCAAGAAGATCAGAAATATTCGAATTGTTTAAATAGATATTTAAATCTTTTTAAATGAGAATATTTCCAAAAAATCAAAGTTAAAAAAACACATAACTTAGTCAAAAAGGCATTCATTTTAATTCGGAAAGCTGTCTAGTGTTAGTTTTTAGACCGTTCAATTAAATTTTTTCCCTAATTATGAAATTCTGATCAAGAACATATATGATTTATAGGGTCGGAAATGATTCCTTCGCTGACAACAATTATAAAACCCTCCGCAGAGGGTATAAGAACTGATCGATCTAAGCATAGAGATTAACTTTTCGCACAGTGTACACTCTGCCTGAATCGGTGGCAGCTTATGTACCATTCTGCACAGGCATTTTAAGCCTTTCCGTTGTTTGACATTTATGAAGTTTACTCTATCGCTGTTTACATGCCTTGCTTCAATCATACGAGAAATCTGCCGGATTTGACTTTCCGGTTGCTTATTTTTTTGTTGCTACGCTTCGCTTTGCTTACTTTGCATAAAAAAGGAAAAATTCTTGAATGCCGCCGCACAAGTGTCGTCGCAGGGGGCTCGCTCTTGGCGCTGGTAACTAAATTATAATAATCTCTGGTGGCACAGGCTGTCACTATGATGGCATCATCCGTATCAGTATCAGATCATAACGGATTATGAGTGTATCATGTCGGGCGGCAGCAGCAAAACCATCCAAAACCATCCAACCAACCCATCCGCACTCGTATCTATCTCTTTCGGATATTGTACTTGTAATAAAAAGGAATTTACATATGAAAGTTAAACTTTGTGCGCAGCATATATCGCTGCCTGTTTTCTCCCTCATCGGATGCGCGTCCTTTTGCTAATAATGCCAGTGTATGAGAGCGTCTCTGGGTGTGTGTGTGTGTGTGGGTGTTTGAAGAGGTACCAGACCGTGAGCTCATGTGTGTGTGTGTACCAGTCGCCATAACGTATGCAACATTACACGAACAAACATCTGACGGCATGAGCGGCAAGCGAGAGCTTCCATCTTCGTCCTCATCAAAATGAGAAGCAACCGAGAAAGGCGTAAACATGGGGATGAAGGGCGTAGGACCAAGGACGAAGGTTGCACACTGGCATCTTTTAATATTGTACTCAACCGTTGTTTACATACACAGAGAGAAAGCAACCAAGTCAACACACCACACAAAATAACAGGTTCAAAATGAATGCGCTAGGCAAAGTAGAATTGCGGTTGAAATAAGAGCACTTAAAGAAATAATTCAAGCTTTAAGAAAATCGAGGGAATACTCATAAATACAATAGTAATAATAAGGTTACATATGATAAACAAGTAAAAGAATACTATAATGTTTCATATTCCAATTCTTCTGTTAAAAATTTATAGATTTTATTCCTTTCCATTTCTTCATTTGAATTAATTTCATCATTAGACATTTAAACCAAAAGCAAAATATTACTTATAATAATAATTCTGAAATTATAAACATAAAACAAATTTCTTTGAACTAAAAGAAAATTAAAAAAAAACAAAAGGTCTCTAGAAAAATAATAATACAGCGCCTAGATTCTGTTCAAAGCATAAAATTATTCATTTTCTTATCTCAGATTTTTTGAAATAGCTTTTAAATTTGTCTTCTTAAAATTGTTTCATGATAGTTTCTTTTCTCATATATCGAAAATGTCTCTCTCAAAAATTATACGAAATTAAAAGCTGAAAATATAAATAATTCAAACTCTAAAAAATAACAAATTCAAGCTCATTATAGCCCCAACAAAAGCCAAGATGAAAACACATTTAGCATATATAGATTTTTACTAATCATTGGTATTTTTTTCTCAATCAGTTTTCAGTTTTTTTTTTGTTTGTTTGTTTTAGTTTTTATAGCTTACTTTCATTACCAATTAGTTTAATTATTTTACATCGTTTTTCGTATTGTTATGTCTCATTTTTCTTATACGTTTTTTTTTTTGTCTGGTTGAATCACAGTTACATACTAAAAATTTATTTATTATTACACGCTACCCAAAAGATTTTTGCAAGCAAAAATTTGTGTGTGTCTCGTGTGAGTGTTACCCAAAGTACGAGAATTTTCTCGCAATGCATTCTGTAAAGATGTCACAGGACACGCTGTTAGTGTGTACTGTGTGTGTGTGCCATGTGTGTGTGTGTGTGTGTGTGTGGTGTGTTTGTGTCTCTGTGCAAGTGTAGTTGTTGTTTGAGGTTGCGCTTCGCGCTGTTTACACGGCCTATGTCTACATTTAGCGTATATATTTCTATATATTATATATATATAGTATATATATATAAGTTCGCTAGCTATACTTGGTTTTTGTTTTTGTTTTTGTTCGTTCATGTTGTTGTTGTTGTCCTGTGTGTGTTGTTATTGTTATTGTTAGCTGTGCTTCGTTTATGGCACAAGTTTCTTAAATCCAGCACCTTCTTGGCCAAGTTTGAGCTCTTCATAAATTGTGGGATTTACTTCATTGCACTGCGTATTGCTGAGCGGGTTATGAAAGTGATGCGCCGCATCTGCGGCACTCTTATGATGCTGCTGCTGATGATGCTGCTTCCCCGCAACAGCAACACCTGCCGAGGTGGCCGCTGCTGTCGGCGCCGTTGTCGTCGTGGATGTCGTCATTGTGGCGGCAATGCCATTACGACCATGGCTGTGACTGTTGCTCCCACTGTTGTTGCTGTTGCTGCCATTTTGCGTTGTTATGGCCGATGTGACAGTAGGCAGCTATGGCATGGTTATTCATATATACACGTGTCCGCGTGTGTCGTTGATGTGTTGTAGAGAGTTTCAGGACAGGCGGGGTTGTAGGTATAGAAAAAAACAAACAAAACACACATTGACAGTTAAAACATAAAAAATAAGTATATACATAACAAACATCCTACGCCTACGATAATACGCACAGAACGGTATACATAAAGCTATCATATCACTAAACTAACTTTGGCCCAGAGCGATAGAAGCAATAAAAACAAACAGGTAGGATTAGTAAAAGTCGAGGTTAAACCGACTATGAAATACCTAGGTGGGAATTCAAAAAGAAGGATATTAAATAGGAGAATTTAAATGGGAGAATTTATTTTATATCAAACAGCTATTAGGATTGAAGGTCCTTGCTAAGATACATGTTAGTAACCCTTATACTTTGTGTCAGAATATTTAGAACTAGAATTTTGGAAAATATCAATAGGTATAGTATTATCTTTCATAAAACTACTGAAGTTTTTCCTTGATCTTCAAGCACAAAAACTTGAGAAAGGTCCGACATTCATTATAAACATTTCTATAAATACACCTAAATTCTGTTCCCTAACATTTGTTAATATGAATACTAAATGGTTTAAAGAACCGAAACTTCTTCTTAATATATTAAGCAAAATCCCCTAGAATCCCAACCTTTTTCAAATTAATACTAGACTTGACATTCAAAATAAATATTTCAATAAATAAACCAAAATTCTGTTCCTGACAAACTGACAAACCGTTTAGTATTGGTTTAATGAACCAAAACTTCTTCTTAATATATTAAGCAAATATTTTGCTATAAAAATCCCCTTGATTCTCAAACTTTTCAAAATTAATACACCCTTGTGACAGACTCTACCCCTTTTATAACAAAATATAAACCGAAAATCGATCGTTGTACAGACCTGCACCTGTTCCAGGCCTCGGGTGTAGGTAGGATTCTCGAATGCCACATTGCCATTGGCCGACTTTCCGTAGCTCGAGCGCTGCCGGCGATAGAATACAATGGCGGCCGCCGCCAAAAGGATGGCCAGGATGCTGGCCACAATGCCGCTGATGGTGCCCACGGCGCTCGAATAGCTGCTTGTGGCCGAGGTCACATGGTGCTCGCCGAGCGTGAACCTAATCGGATCTGTGAGCACACTGGCACCTGCAAGACAAGACGGCAAATTAAAATCCAAAGCGGGGTAGAAGGAAGCAATCAGGGACGCAGGACGCAGGACACAGGACACAGGACTTGGGTCTTGGCGGTAGTAAACTCAACTCACCGTAGCTATTGCCAGCCTTCACCACCAGCTCGTAGAGCACATCCTTCTTGAGGCCATTAATGCTTATTGTTGTGTCCTTTACGTCGATGCGTCGTATCTCGAGAGCAGCCATCGCATTGCTGCCGCCGCTGCCACCGCTACCCATACTTGTTGCATTATTCATGGCGGCCAGGGTATCCATTCCAGAGTTTTCCATCGAGGAAGCATGGTCCTGCGAACCCGAACTGGTTGATGTTGGCGGCAGGACGGCGGCCTCGTGGTAAAATATTCTATAGCCGTCAACGGCATTTGGATTCTTTGTCGGCGCATCCCATCTGTAATGAAATAGTTTTCATAGAGCGACGGCGCCGCATTATGAGTGCTTGGTAATATTGTTGCAGGAGCGCGCGCAACACAACTTGTCTGGAATTTTAATAAATTTAATGCGGCACCAGGTTCAAGGGGTCTCTTTCGAGTTTTCCCCCCAGTTTTCCCAGTTTCCCCAGTTTCCCCAGTTTCCTACTATCCCCGTTCCGGGGACAACCTTTGACGTTGACCGAGTGTATTAAAGTGAGATAAAAATCTCGGCTTTAATGGATTTGCGGTCTATTAGTGTCCCACACACACACACTCACTGTGTGTGGTGTGAGAGGATATGCCGCTTGGAAGGATAATGAATGTATTGGGTTTGCTGCGCTAAATGGATGAGTCCACTTCCGCTTCGGACAAAAGTGTTTAAGAGCTTAGCCCGAGGGGGGAGGATGGAACGTGTGCCACATAGTTTGGGGAGGACTCAAAGCCAAATGGCTTCTGCTCGGTTTAACTTTGTTTTTCGGACAGGACACTCGAAAAAATAAGTAGCCAGAAAAGTAGCTTTAAGAATATAATTTAAACAAGCTATAATAACTTTTAAAGGCTTGCTTTTGGTTAATAAAAACCTCATTGAAAGGCTTTTATAAGCACAAGTTTTTGGGACACTCTTTTGATACATATTTAAATATTTTCTTATAAGAAAATATCAAATAAAATTCTCCAGGGAAGTCATATCTCAATTTTTTCAAAAGAATATAAATATCTTCAAGGACTCACCTTATGGAAACTTCGCTATCGGAGACCACACTGACCACTATATTCTCCGGTGGTCCCGGCAAGCGATCCCTATTCTTCTCAAAGCAACCCACGATGGTGCGGGCATACTGCAAGCTGCAAATCTCCTTGGAGCGAACAGACTCCCCACGGCACCAGTTCAGACATTTTCGAGGAACATGCTCATCTGCACAGCAGGAACGATGATCTGATCCATCGGCTGCACAACGCATTAGCTTATCAAAGTCCACAATACATTCGGGACGATCGGCAATGGCATCAAAGTCCACATAATAACTGCAGGCACTCCTGCAGGCCATGGTGACATTCTGCTCCGCACAACACTCCGAGACATTGTGATTCAGAGCCGGCGTATTACGTATACGCACCGAAACCGGTGTAGTGGTGGCTCCAAAGGGATTCTCCGCATGACAGAAATAATCACCAACATCATTGGCCTGCAGCTTGCTTATTCTCAAGGACATGGTATAGATCGAAGGACGCGATTCGTTGGTCTTCACGGATATGAAATTGTTGCCACCATTAATGACCGGCACTCGGCCATCTTTCTCCCGCCAGAAAATCGTTTTGGGCGCCGGCTTGGAGTCCACAGTGCAGCGCAGCTCAATCTCATCGCCAATGGAGGCGACTGTGATGCCAGCTGCTTGGATTTTGGGAGGATCTAAAGGATATAAACAAAGTGTCAGAGTTTAAGGGGGAAAAGGATTATTAACCAACCCCCTCTTGAGGGACAATTACTTACAGCATATGTTAACCCTTCTGGTGGCCTGCATGGGTACTCCATAGCCATTGTCGGCATAGCAGGAGACATGCTCCATATCCGCGGACACATTGTGAATGACCGTAACCATGTGCCGCGAGGTATCCTGCCGCACCAGGTGTCCGCCCACATAGAGTGAGATGGTGGGCGCCGGGTTCCCCAAGGCCAGACACAAAATGGTCATGGATCCACCCTCAGGTATGTTGTCCGCCGGATGCACAGTGGGGGGCTGCAAATGGAGGAGTAGAGTTACCTTTTAATGCACACACACTCACACACACACACATGTGCCTGGAGGAGTACTTACATCCACAAAGGCAGGCAGGGCGGGATCCGTCCAGGCCACCAGCGTCTCGGAGGGCAGGGAGTCACCCCTTTCGCCCACCGCCTCCACGTAGAGCACATGCTGGGAGCTCGGCTTCAGGTTGTTCATCCGCAGCCAGGCCAGCTTCGTTTCAATCTTTATGAATTGCTCGGCCCTCATGGCCTTGTGGTAGACTCTGCAGAGTAAAATAAGAGTCAAAAGGAGCAATTAGGAGAGGAATAAGACGGCTTGTCAATTGGTTGTGGAAATTAAAAATGCATTCTTGAGCTAAATCCTCTTTTATTATGATATCTTTAACAAAAGAAATTTGATAAGCTGTTTTCACTGCGTAAAAATGTATTTCCGAGATAGTTGTATCATTTTGAATAGGTTTAAAAATTTATTTTTAAAGTCTATTTATGACAATATGATAAAAAATATAAACAGACAATATTTTGTGAAAATCAAAATTTTTCGGACATCATAATTAAGCCAAAATTGGATTAATTTTGAATCGGAAAGCTTTTCTGTGCTAGTTATTATTGCACTAACAAATCTGCAGTCTGTGTTTGTTGATGCTATTGTCAGTTTTTTAATAAAATTATAAGATCCTGCAAAAAGGTATAAAAACAGACAATTTTGTCCAAAAATCATAGTTTTAAAATCTCATAACTAAGCCAAAACACCATTAATTTTAATTCGGAGAGCAGATATATGCTAGTTTTTACTTGATTAACAAATCTGCATACCGGGTTTTCAAATTTAAAAAATTCAATTTATTGTCAAATTTTGACAAAATTTTTAATTTTCGAAAAAAGTCCGAAAATTTATTTTTCATCCGGACATGGCTAGATTGATTCAGTCTTTGATGCTGATCAAGAATATATATGGTTTATAGGGTCGGAAATGACTTCTTCACAGTATTACAAGCTTCTGATTTAAACTGTACCCACCAAAAAGGTATAAAAACAGACCATTTTTTGTGAAAAATCAAAGTTTTCCGGACATCATAATTCAGCCAAAATTGCATTAATTTTGAATCGGAAAGCTTTTCTGTGCTAGTTTTTATTCCACTAACAAATCTGCATACTGCGTTTGTTGATGCTATTGTCAGTTTTTTAATAAAATTATAAGATCCTGAAAAAAGGTCTAAAAACAGGCAATTTTGCCCAAAAATCATAGTTTTAAAAACTCATAACTAAGCCAAAAAACCATTAATTTTAATTCGGAGAGCTGATCTATGCTAGTTTTTACTAGATTAACAAATCTGCCTACCGGGTTTTCAAATATAAAAAATTCAATTTATTGTCAGATTTTGACAATTTTAATGATGTAACCCCTTATAAAATTTTCAATTTTCGAAAAAAGTCCTAAAATTTATTTTTCATCCGGACATGGCTAGATTGATTCAGTTTTTGATGCTGATCAAGAATATATATGGTTTATAGGGTCGGAAATGACTTCTTCACAGTATTACAAGCTTCTGATTTAAACTGTACCCACCAAAAAGGTATAAAAACAGACCATTTTTTGTGAAAAATCAAAGTTTTCCGGACATCATAATTCAGCCAAAATTGCATTAATTTTGAATCGGAAAGCTTTTCTGTGCTAGTTTTTATTCCACTAACAAATCTGCATACTGCGTTTGTTGATGCTATTGTCAGTTTTTTAATAAAATTATAAGATCCTGAAAAAAGGTCTAAAAACAGGCAATTTTGCCCAAAAATCATAGTTTTAAAAACTCATAACTAAGCCAAAAAACCATTAATTTTAATTCGGAGAGCTGATCTATGCTAGTTTTTACTAGATTAACAAATCTGCCTACCGGGTTTTCAAATATAAAAAATTCAATTTATTGTCAGATTTTGACAATTTTAATGATGTAACCCCTTATAAAATTTTCAATTTTCGAAAAAAGTCCTAAAATTTATTTTTCATCCGGACATGGCTAGATTGATTCAGTTTTTGATGCTGATCAAGAATATATATGGTTTATAGGGTCGGAAATGACTTCTTCACAGTATTACAAGCTTCTGATTTAAACTGTACCCACCAAAAAGGTATAAAAACAGACCATTTTTTGTGAAAAATCAAAGTTTTCCGGACATCATAATTCAGCCAAAATTGCATTAATTTTGAATCGGAAAGCTTTTCTGTGCTAGTTTTTATTGCTCTAACAAATCTGCATACTGCGTTTGTTGATGCTATTGTCAGTTTTTTAATAAAATTATAAGATCCTCCAAAAAGGTATAAAAACAGACAATTTTGTCCAAAAATCATAGTTTTAAAAACTCATAACTAAGCAAAAAAAAACATTAATTTTAATTCGGAGAGCAGATATATGCTAGTTTTTACTTGATTAACAAATCTGCATACCGGGTTTTCAAATTTAAAAAATTCAATTTATTGTCAAATTTTGACAATTTTAATGATGTAACCCCTTATAAAATTTTCAATTTTCGAAAAAAGTCCTAAAATTTATTTTTCATCCGGACATGGCTAGATTGATTCAGTTTTTGATGCTGATCAAGAATATATATGGTTTATAGGGTCGGAAATGACTTCTTCACAGTATTACAAGCTTCTGATTTAAACTGTACCCACCAAAAAGGTATAAAAACAGACCATTTTTTGTGAAAAATCAAAGTTTTCCGGACATCATAATTCAGCCAAAATTGCATTAATTTTGAATCGGAAAGCTTTTCTGTGCTAGTTTTTATTGCTCTAACAAATCTGCATACTGCGTTTGTTGATGCTATTGTCAGTTTTTTAATAAAATAATAAGATCCTCCAAAAAGGTATAAAAACAGACAATTTTGTCCAAAAATCATAGTTTTAAAAACTCATAACTAAGCCAAAAAACCATTAATTTTAATTCGGAGAGCTGATCTATGCTAGTTTTTTACTAGATTAACAAATCTGCCTACCGGGTTTTCAAATATAAAAAATTCAATTTATTGTCAGATTTTGACAATTTTAATGATGTAACCCCTTATAAAATTTTCAATTTTCGAAAAAAGTCCTAAAATTTATTTTTCATCCGGACATGGCTAGATTGATTCAGTTTTTGATGCTGATCAAGAATATATATGGTTTATAGGGTCGGAAATGACTTCTTCACAGTATTACAAGCTTCTGATTTAAACTGTACCCACCAAAAAGGTATAAAAACAGACCATTTTTTGTGAAAAATCAAAGTTTTCCGGACATCATAATTCAGCCAAAATTGCATTAATTTTGAATCGGAAAGCTTTTCTGTGCTAGTTTTTATTCCACTAACAAATCTGCATACTGCGTTTGCTAATGCTATTGTCAGTTTTTTAATAAAATTATAAGATCCTGAAAAAAGGTCTAAAAACAGGCAATTTTGCCCAAAAATCATAGTTTTAAAAACTCATAACTAAGCCAAAAAACCATTAATTTTAATTCGGAGAGCTGATCTATGCTAGTTTTTACTAGATTAACAAATCTGCCTACCGGGTTTTCAAATATAAAAAATTCAATTTATTGTCAGATTTTGACAATTTTAATGATGTAACCCCTTATAAAATTTTCAATTTTCGAAAAAAGTCCTAAAATTTATTTTTCATCCGGACATGGCTAGATTGATTCAGTTTTTGATGCTGATCAAGAATATATATGGTTTATAGGGTCGGAAATGACTTCTTCACAGTATTACAAGCTTCTGATTTAAACTGTACCCACCAAAAAGGTATAAAAACAGACCATTTTTTGTGAAAAATCAAAGTTTTCCGGACATCATAATTCAGCCAAAATTGCATTAATTTTGAATCGGAAAGCTTTTCTGTGCTAGTTTTTATTGCTCTAACAAATCTGCATACTGCGTTTGTTGATGCTATTGTCAGTTTTTTAATAAAATTATAAGATCCTCCAAAAAGGTATAAAAACAGACAATTTTGTCCAAAAATCATAGTTTTAAAAACTCATAACTAAGCAAAAAAAAACATTAATTTTAATTCGGAGAGCAGATATATGCTAGTTTTTACTTGATTAACAAATCTGCATACCGGGTTTTCAAATTTAAAAAATTCAATTTATTGTCAAATTTTGACAATTTTAATGATGTAACCCCTTATAAAATTTTCAATTTTCGAAAAAAGTCCTAAAATTTATTTTTCATCCGGACATGGCTAGATTGATTCAGTTTTTGATGCTGATCAAGAATATATATGGTTTATAGGGTCGGAAATGACTTCTTCACAGTATTACAAGCTTCTGATTTAAACTGTACCCACCAAAAAGGTATAAAAACAGACCATTTTTTGTGAAAAATCAAAGTTTTCCGGACATCATAATTCAGCCAAAATTGCATTAATTTTGAATCGGAAAGCTTTTCTGTGCTAGTTTTTATTGCTCTAACAAATCTGCATACTGCGTTTGTTGATGCTATTGTCAGTTTTTTAATAAAATAATAAGATCCTCCAAAAAGGTATAAAAACAGACAATTTTGTCCAAAAATCATAGTTTTAAAAACTCATAACTAAGCCAAAAAACCATTAATTTTAATTCGGAGAGCTGATCTATGCTAGTTTTTTACTAGATTAACAAATCTGCCTACCGGGTTTTCAAATATAAAAAATTCAATTTATTGTCAGATTTTGACAATTTTAATGATGTAACCCCTTATAAAATTTTCAATTTTCGAAAAAAGTCCTAAAATTTATTTTTCATCCGGACATGGCTAGATTGATTCAGTTTTTGATGCTGATCAAGAATATATATGGTTTATAGGGTCGGAAATGACTTCTTCACAGTATTACAAGCTTCTGATTTAAACTGTACCCACCAAAAAGGTATAAAAACAGACCATTTTTTGTGAAAAATCAAAGTTTTCCGGACATCATAATTCAGCCAAAATTGCATTAATTTTGAATCGGAAAGCTTTTCTGTGCTAGTTTTTATTCCACTAACAAATCTGCATACTGCGTTTGCTAATGCTATTGTCAGTTTTTTAATAAAATTATAAGATCCTCCAAAAAGGTATAAAAACAGACAATTTTGTCCAAAAATCATAGTTTTAAAAACTCATAACTAAGCAAAAAAAAACATTAATTTTAATTCGGAGAGCAGATATATGCTAGTTTTTACTTGATTAACAAATCTGCATACCGGGTTTTCAAATTTAAAAAATTCAATTTATTGTCAAATTTTGACAATTTTAATGATGTAACCCCTTATAA